GTTGGCGTTGGCTTGAGGGAGGTGATGGCCCAGGTCCTCATGCGGTGGCCTGAGCAGCAGGAGCTTGAGGGACGTTCATGGCTCTGGCTTAGAGGGGGCGATGGCCCTCATGGCCACCAGCAGTGGCTGCAACTTGGACCAGAGGTTGGTGGCGGTGGATCGGGGACTGGATGGACATACAGTGGTGGTGACGTCGACGTCAACAATGACGTAGCCGAGTAAGTTTTGTGCTGAAGTAAATGCGCTGTACTTGTTAAGTTAACGGTTACAATTGAACTAACTGTGTTAAATGAATAGGTTATTGTGTAGAACAGAGAACTTCCTGCAGAGCTGTGATTCATCTAAAAAAACTCGCGTTCTGTGGAAATGCTGTCGGTAAATAAACTTCTACGATGATGCAGCACTCACGGCTGACTTGGTTGTGTTGGGTAGCACAGCTGAAGCACATGCTGAGACTTCGGGGGCGTAGGATCAAGGACAAGACCCTGCTGCTGAAGCGTCTGAAATCGGGTAATGTGGTTGTTGAGCTTGCCGTCTGTATGAAGGCGCTTCAAGACCTTGACGATGGTCCCGTACGACTTTGCCGTTATGTTTTCTTCAGCTAGAAGCGCCTGAATACCTGCCTCCGCTTCCAATCCTGATCGAAGGATCCGTGCTTTGAGTTGACCGTCGTCACTAATCACGTTATATCCATCTGGTAGGAATAACCACATGAAGGCCACCGTCACCTTGCACTCATGATAACGTCTTCTGTTGGTGTGTGTAAATGGTGACAGGTCACAAAACCATTCGTACCAGACCGACGAAGGAGAGTTAGCTCTCGATTGAGTCTTGACTTGACTTTTCATCTGTGAAAAAGGTGCTGCGGCTGCTTCGGCTGCTTCGGCTATCTTGGAATGCTCAGGTACGTACGAAGAACCATTTTCCAGCTGACGCATTCTATCAGCTAACAAATTGACTTGTGTGGTCAGTTCACTAATCAGAGACGTTTGTCGCTCAAGGAGGGTAGTCTGCTTGCGCACGTAGTCTTCAACGCTTGCCTGCGGCCCGTTTTCAGCGACTGAAGTGAGTGTGCAACTCCGTTCTTGTTTCGCCACGTCCGCGTGAATGGTGAGAGCCCATGCAGTAATTTCCATCTCTGAAATTTGATTCTGACTCAGTATTTGCTGTACGCGCTTGATGTAGAGCGACTGTGGTGCGAGCTTAGCCATGTCAGGGTAGTGCAAGACAGCGGACGCCGTTAGCACATCCAGTACATCTTCTCTCAAAATGAATGCGTCATGAAGCCCAAGGGAACTTGCGAATCGACTTTCTTGCACCAAATGGACCCGTTGCGCGACTACAGCGTCGAAGATGGTCAATGTAGGTAGTCGAGGCTTGTCCTTGATCCCCCACCCAGCCAAAGTCTTACCGACGGTCTGATCTTCATGTGTGGTACTTACAATATAGTTGAATGCCTTACTCACTGCATTCATGCTCCATCCGCCTCTATCAAGAATCCATGGTGTACTTATGTTGCAGTCACCATTGGCATTCTGTGCAGCTCCTCTTCGAAACGAGTGCGAATTAAGCCCCTTCGTCAGCTTGCAGCCATTCGCCGAGGTAGCTGAGCTCCACCTTTGGAGGACACGATTTACATACGCGTGGATTCCGGGTACAGCAGCTTTTGGAGCAGACTCGGTCTTCTCTCGGCTAACCGTTGCTTTTCCGGTTGGCGTATCTGTGAGAGAACGCAGTAGATCGACAAGTGGAATGCTGGTCTTACTTGCTTCTTGTATTCCGACTGTTTCACGCGGTAGCTGATCCAGCAAAAATTCACTCGCGGAAGTCTGCATAATTGTTGCAATTGCTATCGCGTGAATCGGACACGACGTAAAATCGTAAGGATCGCTAAAGAGCGAAGATCCCTGGTTTGTGGCGGATTTCAGTCTTTTGAAGTTAATGAATAGGCAGCCTCCTAACAAATAATGCAAACATTTAGTATCAAATAGATGTTTAAACACCTCAAGGTTGAACGTACCCGGGTACACTGCAACCTGACTCTTGACAAGACACATCGTGTCTGATGACCTCCCTAAGAGATACCACAAAAGATTGAGTAGAGCAGCGTCCTTGTAGTCATCAGGTGATACAGCGCCCTTGAGAATCGTTGTCGAAAGCGCACGGAGATCCGCTTTGGTGCATGCTGGGGCTTGATGGGTAAAGTCTGTGCCTCGTTTCGAGCAATACTTGTCGAGTATTGATGCAATCTTTTGCAAGCGCTTGCTCGAGACTGCAACCAACGCTGGGAAAATCTCCAAGAGGTAATTCTTCACGTTGCCAAAGTAGCTAGCAGCAGAATTTTTAGAGAGCACAGAACCCTTGGAGCTCTCTTGAAACGCGAGAAAAACTGCAAATTTGTCGAGCACCGTGAAGAGAGTATCGCCAGAGCTGTCTGCGCCTATAAATTCGCATATCTGCTTAGCGGTTAGGCCTTCGGACACCGCGAAGCGCTCGGAGGCATTAAGCGCCGTCAGGCGTGCCCGCTGGGAGTTTCCTGGTATCAGGCCTTGGTTGACATATGCGACTGTTGACGATTCTTTGAATGGCTAGTGCTGTCTCTTTTGCCAAACCCTTCAAAATTGATCATTGTCCGGAATTTCATGCTATTTTTATACTATTCATTTGACTTGACTTTGTTAAACAAATATTTTATATTAAAAAAAACTCGGACACAATCTTACTTGCTGCACAATTGAGAACCCCTATTAGGGGTTCTCAATTGTGCAGCAAGTAAGATTTTTTTTCGTGCAGCAAGTAGAATTATTTTCCGGTCATCTGATTGGCCAAGCACATTTTTCCCGTTCTGCATCAAAATCGATGCAGGACGGCTTGCAGCAAGAAGATTTTTTTTTGCTGGCACCGGCCGAAGATCGCACCCCATTCGAAAAAAACGCGACGTGTACCCCACTGTGCTCTGGTGAGCATGACTGCTCCTAAACAGCAGTCCGCGACACCGGCAAGCCTGGTGCAAGAGGTGATCACCACGGACGAAAGCCAGTCACTAGTGCGTTGACGGCGTACGACGACTTCCTGCTGTAGTAATCCTCGCCATTGTGCCGCGGTTTCGTTGCTAGAGGTAGCAGGGTGCCATCAGTGATACCAACGCAATTTACAAAGCCGTAGTTAGCTTTCATCCGATGAGCGATTTCGCGACGCTCGACCGCATTCGGCCACGTAATCGTCGACTCCTCAAGTTTCAAAATTGAACTGACAGCTCTATCGAGATAGTTGTAGAACCCACCTTCCGCAAACCCCAGAAATTTACCAATATCAAGGGCAGTATTGGCATTCCCATATGCTTCTAGGAACTTAATCAAAACCATTAAGTGGAGACACGCTCCGCCTTTAAATGGCTTTCCGCCCTTTGTCTTAAAGACGGGGTCATCCTTCACAAGTGCTACAAGACGGAAAAACTCGGGGCGTTGGAGACGAAAGTGCTTGAGAAACTCACTGTCGCTGGTATGTTGGTGGTTGTGTAGAATCTTTGGCCATTTCGTTTTGCGACGCCGATAATGAGAAGCCCGGGCACCGTATCTGGCTGCTTGTGCACGCAGGTATTTAATTTCCCAGTACTCGTCCACCTCGTCCTCTCCCGAGTCCTCGTCGCTAAGTATCTCCCTGTTGATAGCAGCGGCTTCCCGCTGGGCGATAATTTCTCGTAGCTCTCGCAGCTTACGCTGCTTAGCTGACAACTTTGGCATGCTGGATCTGCTTCTGCGAAGATCTTGGAGTCGGCGCCAAGTAAAAGTCTACTTGCTGCAGCACTGACAAAAACCTGCAACGGGGCCCTCAATTACGAAGTGTTTGATTGGCTGAAAAGGTGTTGCATGAAACGCTGGCCAACCAAAAAAAATCTACTTGCTGCACAATTGAGAACCCCTATTAGGGGTCCGAGGTGTCCAAACTAAAGCCTTTATCTGAAACAGATGTAATCTTTAGCTTTGATTGGATAAACCTCTTTAAAAATCTATTCTAATTGGCCAACCACTACTGTAGCATTCAAGTTTCACAAACTGATTGTCCGAAGGACTCGATATTCTACCATAGCCGTTTATAACCATGCTGTGGGTAGTGTCAATGTGCAAAATTGAAATGAAATCGGGATGAGTCTGGACCGCAATGTAGCTTTGAATCAGACGCAAACAGGTCATCCCTACCCGTAGAGGACAAGCCGTCACCAAGGAGTGATACATTTCCCGCTGCACCGGGCGCGTGTCTCGTTGGAAATCACATTATATTATCATTGCTGTGTCTGATGTCGTCTTTATATCAATTTGGTCATAGAAATGACCATCATACAGCTCTTTCATCGGCACCATGAATTCTTTAGGACTTTTGCGTCTCCAGCCCCTTTTTACAGACACTCAAAAGACACCTACGGGTAATTACGGGTGCGGTTTTGACTTGAATTTATTAAGACGTTTAATCGGGCAAGGTCCACTAATCGGTTAATTGCTCATAATGAACCGTTCTGATTTCTTACCTGCGTCTGCACGCGGAGTCTACTATTCGGTCGCGGACAGTAGTCATACCTTTTGAACACCAATGGACACTTTAGACACTGTTTAAATATGTCCATTGTAAAGACGTCGTATCTTTCCACTGCCAGCACTGTTGTACAGCCACAAAAGCCAGCAAGGTGTTGGGATTTGAACCCAGCAATAATGATGATGTTCCATCGAACGGAGAGGCGGTCTCGTTGTCCTGACAATGATGTCGCTCGCTCTCTCAACGTATCGATACTAAACCTGGCTACCTCGATTACATGTGCTATTGTGGTGACTTACGATGAGTATCAAAATGATACATTTACGAACATTCAACATGGTCCTCTAACTTGTGGTAGACCCACCGAACAGCAGCTCTCTCATGTGCCCATTAGCTCCTCCGCGTTGTCGTCTCGCTTCCAGATCCGCGAAGCGTGTGAGTCGTTGCACGACCACCGGAAGCTTCAGACGCTACTGAGGGTCAAAGCAGCACATTTGCTTGACGAGTTCCCAATGAGCGTCGTCTTGAAAGCCCTTGGGTCGAGGCGGCAGTGCACCGCGTCGTACGTGGAAGCGCACGGCTGCATCCGGCATGCGAGCACCCCACGGGAACTCGCCACTAATCGCCTGAAGAATGCACATGCCGAACGAGTACACGTCCGACTCGAAGGTCGGCGGTGTGCCGGTCAGGCACTCGGGTGCTTTCCATCTCTGCGCACCCACCACCGACACTTGAGTACTTTGTTCCTGTTCACTATCGACATATCGACGGATAGAGCTGAGGCCAAAGTCCGTGAGTTTCGCTGTCCCGTCGGCAGTCACGAGGATGTTGTCGCACTTGAGGTCTCCGTGTACGATGCTGTGTTGATGAAGGTATTGCAGCCCAAGTGCACTCTGGCGGAGCTTCTTCCAAGCCTCACAACGCCTGTAGCAGCCTACACTGTCGGCTGAGAAGCCAGAACTACATGTAGACCCGTTGGACGTCTCTCTACTGAAGCCACTGGTGTGTCCACTAACGGTAGAGGTAGATCTCAAGCTGCTGGTGCCTACACTAGTGCCCACCGGGTCGAACCGATGTAGATACGTGTCTAGACGGCCATTGGTTGCCGGTTCGCACACGAAGAAGGGCTGGCCGCCTACATGGCAGCCGCCGTACAATTTAACCACATATGGGTGGTTCAGTCGACACCAGATACTCAATTCTCGATAAAACACAGCACTAGGCTGAGCAGCCAGTGGGTTAAATGACACAGGTGTGAGTTTCTTGATGACGACGGGTGTACCGAGCCACGTTCCAGAATGAACCCAGGCAAACGCACCCTGACCCAGAGACTCCCGTGGGTTAAATTCGACTTCGTACGGCGGGATAAACCATTTCGGTGGTCGCCACAGGTGGAACTATCCGACAGTCGACGCGAGATATCCCAACACGCAGAGCCCATGGCTTCCACTTGTGCCGGTGTGTAGCTAGAGCGATGGCGAGTGACCTCGAACCGTAGCAACGCGAGAATTTCTTCCCGGTCGTGGGCATCTTTGAGCTCGTCCAGCAGTAACTCGGCCGCGTCTGGGTTCATCAGCGTCCACGTGCAGCTCAGCGTCCGTCGCGCTCGATGTGAATACCATTGGCCTTTCCAGTCGTGCAGGTCTTCCTTCTCCGCCGACAAACACTCATACGAGTGCAGTGCGTCGAGTAAATCGTCCAGGTCTTTGTGAAATGAAAACTTGTCGGTGGTGCGCTGGCGAGTGGCCGCGATCTGCGTGATGCGGCTGCCAGTGCCGCCGACGCTCACGTGAAGCCTGAACTGCGTCAAAATATCCACGAAACTGGTCACGATAGCAGGAAACGCGCTGGTCTCGTCGCTGTCTTGGTCCAAATCGGCCTCGACACGACACAAACGCGCGAAGAAATCTTCCATTCGGAGCAGAATCTGGGCGTCCAAGTCGCCGTTGCTCGCCTCGATAGCGTCATCGTGGCTTTGGATCTGCTCCTTTAACGTCTCGAACGACTGCGAGATCGTCAAAGGCGAGTCCCCTGGTACGTGTAGCTCTACGTCTACTACATGTAGTTGTGTCGACTCGCTTGCAGTGTTCGAACGCCCGTCACTCGCTGTATCCATCTCCCCCGACTCGCGTTGACCTGATTGTCGCTCCCTGTTCGCCAGTTGACCGAGCTGCTGCACCACGTACGAGACTGACGGACGTAGCTCTGGCTGCCACGCGCACATTCTCTTGACCAGTTCCCACGCTTCATGCTCGAATGGATCCGGTCTCTGCTCTAAGAGCGACTGGTCCACCAGCTCGTCACTCTCTAGAGTGTTGCGTAAAACTGCCTCAACAATGACCACACCGAAGCTGTAGATATCCGACGCCAGCGACGGTACGCCACCGCTTCCTCTACGCTCGGGAGCTAGCCACCGTGCGTCATTATCAGCCGACGTCCGCAAGACCCCGCGGGTCACGTAGAGGTACAAAGTGCAGTCCGTTGAGCTTGGCCAGCTCCTGCTTCGAGCTTTTAAGTCCAAGATACCGCCTCGTTTTCCTCCCGCGGCGTCTTCTATTGGTCGTTTTCTCCACCACAACGACGATGCTGTCGCTACGAAGCTCGTTGTGCACAATCTCGCGCTCATGAAGATACTGCAGACCCAACGCAGCCTCGTACAGTAGTCGCCACAACGGTGGCGTGTATTTCGTACCATCCGGGTACCGTGACAGGAACTCCATCAACGAGCCTCCACGAGCGCGTTCAAACACGAAAAACGGGCTGGAGCCAACGTGACACGCTCCGAACAGCTCCACTATGTGCGGATGAACGAGCTCCGACCAAATGGCTGCCTGTCGTACAACCACTTCACTTAAATCCCCACCATCCGAAGCGTGTTGTGGCTCTTGGATCGCAACGCGAACGCCTTCCCACCAACTCTCGTCTCGCACTTCATACGTCGAGATAAACCAGTCGGGCGTAGACGTCACTAGTGCTCCTACGTGCTGGGCACACACATCGACAGCACGCACCACCAAGTCGAGCTGCGAATCCGAGAACGCGTAGCGGAAGTTGTCCAGCTCGTGCCGCATCACCGTCAGAGCCTCCATCGCCACGTCAGATCGCACCCACCTAGCAGCACTCGACTGCTCTACACTATCCAAATATTCGTGAAACGAAGTCGTGAGATCCCCAACGTCAAATTCCCATGCAAGTCCCCACTCCTCGGCACTTGGGCGCGAACTTTCACTACTGGAATCGCTCTCAAAAGTTGAATTTTCACTGTCAAATTCGGCAAATAGCGCGTCTAACTGGCGATGGATTTGCTGGATTTCAGTCGAAAAGCGCCGGGAATGAGCATCTTCAGCAGCTCTCGACCGCCTCTCGACGGCAAATAGCGCGTCGTAAGGAAGCGCATGCTACGCAGCAGATGTTCGGTGCGAGTCTGCCAGTTGAGCTCCCCACTCTCCGCTTCTGCGAACACGATTCCTTCGTCCCAGAGTCGAGCTAGCACAGGCTCCAGTCGAGAGAGCACGTGAGCACACATCTCCACGCCAGTTTCTTGCGCTTGACTGGCACTACGGAGCGCAGTCCACACGTCAGGAGCGTGTAGTAAAAGCTCTGGGAACTGCTCGTCACTCCACGGACGCTCGCGCTCCGTCAGCGTCAGTACGACGCGCACTACCGCGTCCATTTCTGGCCGCTCCGTGGGGTCTGCAGACCTCATTGCTTCGACTAATTTCCACGCTGCGTTGCTCACTCCACCAGGCTGCTCTGGCTGCTCTTCCATGCTGCTAAAACTATCCTCCCAGTCCTCTATCGTAGCTGTACTGACAGCGTCTAGAATGACGCAGGCGAGCGCGTACACGTCGCTCTCTTTGGAGGCCTCCGTAGCCAGCTCTTTACACACAAGTGTCTTGACCTTCGCCTTTCTATTGGAGCCTACAACCACGCAGTCTGACGTGATATTGCCATGTATTATACCCAAATCGTGGAGATATTGCAGTCCTATTCGCCGTTCTAGCAGTCTTTTCCACACTTTCCGAGGACTCTGAACACCTTTTGCATACTCAACAAGAGACATGCAGTCCGCTAGACACTCGTAGATTATAAACGGCGTGACGTTTGTCCCGTTCCTGCCAAGTTGTCGGACGCTGCTCGTATCTCGGTACAAACCAGTCCGGAACTGTCTCAATCCCTTCGACCCGTGATCTACACTGCGCGACAAAATATTTCGGACACTCACCTTTCTATCTATAGCTTGGCTTCTAGAACGAGTTGAGACGTGCTATTTAGATATGTTTAGCCAATCCGATAGGTCTATAGCTGGCATGTGACACAGAGGTAGGCTGGCATACAAGGAACTAAAAATGGGCTGCGACACGATTTTCGGACACACTTTTATCTTATTTCTAGTAATGATTGTCCTAAGCGGACATCCAATCTTCTTTCTGACTTCATTTTAGTAAAGGTCGCGGACCACCCATCACTGACGAAGAGCGAGGGAGGATTAAGGGCGTCCATGAAGCAAACGTGGGGGTGAGAGAGATCGGTCGCCGCCTCAAGAGGTCGCCGGACGGCGTGAGCTACGTACTGCGCACTGAAGACAAGCGCGGGGCAAAGCCTGGTAGGTCGAAGAGCCTCACAGACCGCCAGATTCGGCAGGTCGTACGAGGGGCTGCCACGGGAAACTATTCGGCAGCGCAGCTGAAGGCTACGTATGGGCTAGAATGCTCTGCTCGTACCGTTCAGAGGCTGTTGTCTAAGGTTAATTTTCTAGTATACTGAAAGATGGACAGAGCGCTCCCACTCACACAGGAGCACATGGATGCACGCTAAGAGTTCGCAGAAAGGCTTTCGTCTGCAGCCCAGAAGGAGATTGTTGGCCTATGATTATTTTTTCTGACGAGAAAAATTCAATCTAGATGGACCTGATGACTATAAACACTATTGGAGGGACCTGAGACGTCCTGCTCGGCGTCATTTGACGCGCCAAAATGGAGGAGGGTCGCTAATGGTGTGGGGCGCGTTTGGCGCTAAGGGTAAGTCCGGATTGGGTTGTTCTGGAGCGGCCACCAGAAGTCGTTGAACTACATCTACACGGTGTCTGAGAACATGCTTCCGTT